ATGGCTTCCAACCTACTAGCGATGGCCTCCAACCTACTAGCAATGGCTTCCAACCTACTAGCTATGGCCTCTAACTGTTTGGAAGAGATGTATGCGCTTCAGAATCGGATGTTTTCCGATGTCAGCCAATGGCCCATCCTAGTCCTCTGGGACCTCTAATCATATTATACTCTGGGGCTCCAAGCACCTGCTCAGAAGGTATTTAGACCATCAGTATGACATGAGCCTCACTTCCATGATTATTTCAAGATATTTCAAGTAGTGTAGCCTCTTCATTCTATGGATCAAGTTCACCAGTTTTTATCCATGGAGACGGGTAGGACATGAGGCTCATGTCATACCACTTCAGAGGTGCGTTTGGCACTTCAGAAGTGAGACGCTGATATTTCTGGCGCTGGGAAGCACCTCCACATATGTCTGATCTGAAGGTAGTCTGTGCTTAGCAGACATGATCCTGGAATAGGGAAGGATCTTGAAGGCATCAAAGGCAAGTTCAAGCTGAAGCAAACGCATCTAAGCTGCAAGGTTAGGTTAGTGCACTAAGGTTTTGATATATATATATGCTTCTTCCTTCCGAAATCCTCAGGGCATGAGCCCCTCCAATTCAGATGTGTTTCTTTGGAAACGTCTTCCTGTGTTTCGTTCTGGCCGAGGTATCCACAGCACTGGCCGATCTCCAAAACGCGCCTGAAGGTGAAGATGGTGAAGAGAGAAGCAGAGTTCACAACCAGCTAGCACAGACAGCGACACAGACACCTAGCGCAAGCTATAAGACAATCCTAGTGGTCCCCAAATAGATACAGTAGAAACGGTGTCCAATACATGCTTCGTGGGGATCTAATTACATCTAATTACCTATTTTGGGGTCTATATACAGCCTAGTACAATGTTCTAGATCTGTTTTCTCTTCTAGCCTTGTTTGTTGATGTTCAACATATCAGTTGACTTGCATCGCCCATCGGCAACGATACGGTGTACGGTGTGTCCGTTGGCTTCCAGTTGCTTTCTACATCAAGTTGCATGTCGTACTAAAGCTTATCTGTTGAACATGATGTAGATAATAAGAGCTGCTTCTCTGCATATGGGTATGTTTTAGCATTGGGGAGTTCACAGCCAATGTGGAAAAGAGCAAGCTTGGCTTTCAAAAAACACGTACATCTACCCAGATTCCGTCGAAGAAGCCTCTGCGACCACCCCAGAAAATTCAAAAAAAAACTTTCATAGCGGCTTTGCTGGTCTCGCCTGGCGCCAGAGACGGCGCAAAGTGTCTGAAGCAAGCCTGAGGGAAAGGATGTGGGACAAGGGCCTACCTGAGGAGGCTTTCAGTTGTTGACATGAACATGTTTGTTCTACATAGTTCCCAAAAACTACATGAGACTGGCATATTTGCATACATTGGGGTTGATTTCAGGGGTCTTTCCGGGGCGGCAAACAAAAGTCCCATGGAGTGTCTGGAAATCCTTAGCTTATCTTATAGTTTTATGATGTCTCTGCCTTCAAAAGAATCATCAGAACGACATCGGGGCACCTGAACCATCATCAACACGTGGTCTTTGTCGCGTGGTCTTCGCGACGGACGCTGCGACGGAACTTGCGAAGCTGCGACGGCTGCGAGAGATCTCGATGGGCGAAAAAGGAATCGCCTGGAGGAGAAGGAGCAGGAGAAAGTCTACTGGAATGAAATGGAATGAACAAGAAGCTACTAGTAGCTCCTGGCCTTACTACTAGTAACAAGAAGCTACTATAGAACAAAGGGCACCGCTACGAACGGAGCAAAGTCTACTGGAATGGAATGAACACTCTCCAGACCCAGGGATCCTTGGTTGAGGTGATCCTCTACTAGCAGGCGGGGTTGGGGAACTGGAGTTTGGTGCTCCCTCGCTTCATTTGAATACTCCAGGCGACCCGAGGACCTCCCTGAGCAACAGCATGGCATGGTGAAAGCAAATCAGGCATGGTATGCTTTCACGTGGCCTGCCTTTCGAACATCCAATACCCAGACACTCCATGGGACTGCCATAGGACTGCTGCCCCATTGACCCCCAGTCAACCACCCCTGGCCGTTTCTCGGCAGTCCTCTTCCAGTCCCAGACACGTCGTGTCTGTGTCTACATCGGACAGACCACAGGAAGTCGACCATCGAGGCCCGATGGCTCTAGCGGGAACCGACGGCTCTCTGGAATGATCGGACTGGAAGTCGACCCTGGGATGATGGACTTCTGTACCCAATGGCTCTCAGATCTTCAGGGTGATCGGACTTCTGTACCCACCAACTGCCGCGGAACCACATCGAGAGTCGATCTGAGCGCCAGAACCACATCGAGAAGAGTCGGCTGACCTGATGATCGAGTTTCGGATCTTGTGGGTTTCCGGAGCAGGACCTTGTTGGCAGTGCAATCATCTATCTGTGTAACAGCAGCCCAGCCACTTGTAATTTGTAGCTGCACCAGAGATTGTCAAGAGTCTGTTCACACAGGCTGCTTCGACCGCAGCAACCACTTGGAACTTCGTTGTCTGGTTGCCGGGTATGTGTGTTGACGCGGAAAGAGTACTAGTCCAAAGCTCAAAAGACAATTGCAAACACTTGGTGCTACAAAATCCAATGAAAACAGGTCCCATCAACTCCAAGTAGTGACAGCTGTTTGTATCGGAAATCTACAAGCAGAATTCTCAGCAAGCTCCATGCCTTCCTCCTTGGAAGCTATGCTGAAATTCAAACAACAAGATCAAGAGTTACAGTGGTTTCAGAGTAGATGGCACAATCACCAATCACGGTGATGTCTATAGCATCTACTCTGCAGCTACTGTACTTCATCAAATTGTATCCTTCACGGTTAGGCGTTCACTACCTGTCGACCTGAAAAACTCCGCCATCTGAGCTGCTGAATTTCCACTTGAGGAGTGACAGCTGTTCGTCCAGTTCTCTTGGTGGCAAGTTCATGGCGTGAAAACCATGGCCCTCTGAAGAGAATCCCTGGACCCGGGATTGCAGCTTCAAACAGTCCATTCACCAGGAAGGCTGTGAACTGAACCCTGCAAAGCGTGAAAAAAAAAAAAACACGTGAAATCAAATCCATTTCTGGAAACCATACCAAACCCAAACGTTTACTGATGGGCCCGGGCGCTTCAACCTTTCAGCTGTTGGTTGGGTCCCCACAAAGCAAAATTATGTGAACAAATGTGAGTACTATAGACGATACATATGGTAAATGATGGTATATATATATATGGTAAGATACCCATACCGTGCAGGTACCTCCTGAGGATGGTCTTGGAGGTGAAAATGCGTCCAAAGAATGGTCCTTGGTGCCGAAGGACATCCTCAGGATGGTCTTGGAACCTTAAGGTAGTATAGGAAAATACATGTGAATACAAATACTCTATATATCATAATAGTATATTATATAGTGTACGATGGTATGCTGGTACATGGATCCCATTGGGATCTCTTCGCCACGCCCAAGACCGAGACCCGTCGTCTATCCGAGACCCCGAACCAGTCGGCGGCCACACGAAACCTGCGGCCGCATTTCGTTCGGGTTCGGGGGTTTGACCGCAGGGGTTCACCCGCGTGATCCTTCAGCACCTGTGCCGGGTCGGATTCGGATGGGTCGGTGGTCGTGACCCACGGAGAGCGAGCGTGAACGAGCGAAAGACCTTCCCGGTCTTGTGACTGCCATGCCCAAACGCGACCTGTCGGACTGCCGGACTACCGAGAAAAAGGCAAACCCTTTTGGCACCCACCCCTGGCCGGTTTTTTGGCAGTCCTATGGCAGTCCCAGACAGGTCGTGTCTGGGATGGGTCTCCAACGTTGGACTCCACAGACCCCCGAGACCTCCTCGACACCGCATGCCACACGTATACACGAACGACTGGGGAAGTCGGTGACTGGGGGAAGAAGGACTGTGGCGTTCTTTGTCGGCGACTGGGCGTGTCGTCTTCAGTAACTCACCTGAGGTTGCGTGGTGTTTGCTCTGTGAACAAAGCAGCATAGTCGTGTCAAAATTGGATGGTGAGGCTGGCAGTCTGTCACCAAGAAACTACAGGTCGAACCGCATTGCTGTGTAGATTCTTAATGCTTGATTAATAACCCCCCAATTGAATGCACGCACTTGCGGACCGTCGTCTAACGGGCGCTTCCACTCACTCCCTTCCCGTCTGGTCCGGGGGGTGGCGGTGGAGGTGAACAGATTGAGACGCTATGCTATACAGAAGGTGGTGAAAAGAGCCAAACAAAGAGATCTACGACACGGATCAACGAAGAAAAGGCATTGCGAGTGTCACGAACTGTCCAAGGCAGGTTCAAGGATCACACTAATGCGCTAAGCTCACTCTATCCGCTGCGGGCGTAGAGATCGCATGCAAGTCGTGTGGTTGCACGCTGACACGGCATGAGCCGGGCCGACAGGAGTGTCAGGACCGGGTCTGCATGTCATACAACAACTCAAGGTATGTCAGTGTGGCACCTGGTCCGGGAAAGAGAACACGGCCCTTGAACACTGCAAATTCCGAATTGTATTGCAAGATGATGAATTCATGGGGCGTCTGGATGTCGAATGGAATCAAAATCCTTCTTCTTAAAGAGGGCATATCGGACGTGTTGGACAAAGGCATCACGCTTAGAGGCCGTAACTTCAGGCCAATTTGGCCAAGGCGGAGGGTCAGGTTGCGGCGGAATCTCAGGTGCCAAAAAATCTGTGTGAAAGGGCGGGTTGTGAGGCATTGTTTTGAGCATTTGGTGGATGTAGGAATACGTGGCCTCAGAATTTGGCAACCGAGGGCGTCGAGACACTCCCCCCTCATGATCGGATGTAAAACCCAGGCGTGTCAGACTAGATGTACCCTGCTTCTTATACCTGGGGATAAGGTTGTTTCGTGAGAACGTCTGGATATGTTTGACTATCCAACGAAAGTTTTCGGCAAGAACCCTTACTGAGCGGGACTTGACGGGGAGCAACTGGGCAGCAGGATCTGTGAAATCTAGATACTTATACCCCTTGGTTTCTTTAACACGTAGCGGCAAATATCGATTGGACCATAACATAAATGAAATGGCGAGTTCAGTCCACGAAATACCAGGGTCCCCTGGTTGTGTAGCAGCATCAGGATGTAGCCATCTCAAAAGGGCACAGAAGCGCCACACAAGAGAGGTAATGTTAGATCCCCAGGTGCTGCACCAGAAGACAACTCGGTGGGGCTCAGCAGGTGTGGCAAATGGCTCACCTTGTGGTTCCCACGTACGAAGTTTATGAATTTGGTTAGCGAACACGTCAGCTTCTGCGGCAGACAGTGGGCCTGCGGCAGAGTGGAGTGATGGTTTTGCAGAAGCTTCTTCTAGTTTGGTCATGCGGTCGTAGGCAATATCGAGTAGGTACAAGTATATGTTATGGAATATGTCTTGTTGTTGATTCATGAAACTTCGTGTTTCTTTGCACAAGGCATCAAAGGTGGGATCATCCGTGGTACGGAGACGGGCAGCGGCTGCAAGGTCATTGCCCTTGATGTGGAGGGCCTCCTGTGCGTTGGATGCCATGGTGATATCAGTGTGAGATTTTATCTTGAGAACACTGAATCTATGCGGGTCCCAGGCACACGCAAGGCGGCTCATCAAGTCCCAGTGAGACTTTTTGTGAGGGTTTTGCGAATGGGTACGATCTTCAATCCGGCTTATACAATGGACTACGTATTGAGAGTCGGTCACAAAAGTGACTGGAGTGGTAGGGTTGTCTTTTGCAGCATATTCGACTGCAACAACCATGGCAAACAGTTCAGATCGGTTGATTGTCTGCTGACCTGGACAGTGACCGGCTGCGAGGACTTGGAATGCTGTGTCCCTCGGGGTGACCCCTGGGGGAGTGTACATGATGGCCGCCCATGCAGCTCTGGCCGAGTACGGGTCACGTGTGTCATCACAAGTGCCATCGGTGTAAATAACCGCGTGAGGAGACAAATGAAGGTGTTCATTGATGGTGATATTGTGATGACGAAGGTGCATGGCTTGGCGAACGAGTGCAACACTCGGGTGGTGGCTAGGGAGAGGGAACCAGCATGTGTGGTGGTGTGCGGACATGTAGTTGACTGCCTCAGGATGCGTATCACGAACATGCTGGAACACCGGGCACTGAAGCAGTTGGTGTATATGTGTGTCATATTGATGACACCAAGGGCACTCTGGGGACTGTGTTGCGGACCAGGCCGCAATGCCTCCAAGTGACTGCCATCCGGACGTGAGGCTAAGGGCAAGTATTCTGCGTTGGCGATCTGTTAGTTTCTGCATCAGGCGATTGGTGGTATACGAGTCGAAGGGACAATTGGGAACCCCTTTGCGATGAAGGGTTTCATGATGGCATTGCCAATCCCAGGCAATACTGCTGTTTGATTTGTTTCGTGGAGGCCGCATGCAGGCTGAGGCGTAGGCCACCAGGTCCTAAAACCGTGGCATGGTGGGTCATTTCCCAGCCTAGAGTCTTCATATATGATGCAAGGGCGCTTGCCGGGCCCTTGACTTGTCCCGAGAAGTTCGCGGACTGTGGTAACGATCTGTGCGGCCAAGTCCGGATAGTACACGAACAGGCGACGCAACGTGCAAAGCATGTCGGATACAATGTAAAGGAGGGGGTCTTGGACTTTGTGAGTGAGAAACTGCATGGCGATGATGCTAGAAGCATGTTTATGATCACCAACTAACACTGAGGTGGCAGCCCTACGCAGTGTGGTGAAGTGCTTGCAACCAATGGTTTGGCCGAGTGCACCATAGAAGACCGCTGGCCAGATTGCGGATTGTAATTTTTCCGCTCGCTCCTCTAACGACAAGTGCAACCGTCGAAGGCGATTACATTTGGCAACGGCATTATCAATTTTATCACGAAGGGGACCTAAAACCACGGCATGGGTATAGGAGATATTACAGCCAAGATCATGAACGTGGCTTTTGATGGTAAATACGAAGTCGGGGCGGACTAATAGGGCTGACGCCTGGGTCCAGAACATGCGGAAGGTCTTGGTTGTTGCCCAGCACCACGACTTATTAAAGTCTATTTTCATGCGAAGGTCCGAGACCAAATTAAGCAGAGCCTGCATTGCTTGGAAACTATGCCTTTCTGATGTGGACATAAAGGACCAGTTATCCGCATATGCATAGGGGTGAACCCGTGGGGATCCAAGTTTGGCGTGGAACACAAAGCTGAGTGCAAGCATGCCTACAACAGACATGCTGTCGCCTTCAGGGAGTCCGGTGGTGGATGGAAATGGGTCACTAAGGTCACGACCACACTGTAGAACCCGAGTGAGTCTGGAGAGAGATTTGAACCAAAAATCACTAAAATAAATGTGGGGTACCCAGCAAGACAAAAATATGACGCACCACCCGGCGCGGGATTAAGTTAAATGCTTTGACAAAATCCATAGTCCACCCCCCCCATGAGGTATGGTGGGTTTTGGCATGCTCGATTTGAAGCTGCTGCATAACGCAGAGATCGCGGGCTGATCTATGTGGAAGGCCACCGCTGATGGTGGGTGGCCAGAGGGCCGCCCACTGGGCCAAGACCTGGTCAGGATTAACTTGGAGGTGACGCGGGCAATGTATCCGAGTATCGTGATGGGGCGACCATCCGAGATCGAGGTGGGGCAATCTCGCTTGGCAAAAAGCAGCGTGCGTGCCTGCATCAATTGTGCGGTAAGGCCGGTTTGCCAGGCCGATGCAAGCAGGGTGGACAAGTCACTTAACATGGTATCTGTTAGGCACTGGAGCTCTTCCGCGTGCCAGCCGTCCACACCCACTGCCCTGTGGGATTTGAGGCGGTGGATGGATGCTTTAAGAAGCTTCGGGTTGTCATGTTCAATGGCTAACATGGGCTGAACGGGGATGGTGTTGTCTAGGTCCTCGATAAGTTGTTGCCATGGGGCATCTTCAAACTGCTCTTGATACGTGTCCCGCATCCAGTACTGGGACCAGTACGAGTGGAAAGCGCGAGACATGTCGTGGATATTATAGGCATGGTGCTTATATTGAAGAAGTCCCGCCCCCGGGATTGGGCCTTGGATTGCTTTGAGGGTGACATGTTGGCCGTCGGCATGAATGACCTCCGCCTTGCATGTACCAAATTGGACCGTGGCGCCCTCTGGGATTGGGAATGGCTGTGCAAGGCGGACCCGCGGCTTATTAAATGAGGCTCGACATAACGAGGCATGAGTCTCTTTGGTTACAGGGATATCATTCAAGAACTTCTGGTCTTTGCCTTTTATGAATCTATAGGCATTGGAGTTGTTTGTATGGGATTTAGATAATTCTAAACTAGGGCGTCGAATGTGCTTCCGAAGAATGGCTTCCTGGCGTGCATAAGCAGAGCCTGCCTTGTCTTTCCACTGGCGGCACCCTTAAATACTGCATATACGCTGTCGCCCGCAACGGCCAGCACTGCATCGCACACACCTTTGTCGATGCCACGGAGGCTCCAGACCAGGAAATTGGTGCCCAACAGGCCACTCAACGGTTGGCCGTTCACGACGGTGAACTTGAAGCGTGGCCCGGCTGGGGATTCGACCACATCTGATCCATCCATGTCGCGGAGTGCTTCCACCCCGTTCAGCGACAGCCCTGCCTGGATGGCAGACGGGGCTATTCGAGCAAACAGGCCTCTGAGAATAGAGTTTCGCACCCAGCATGACGAATATATGAGTCTGGTGCCGAGGGACTCCTCAGGCCCGTGCAGCTTGCTGAACTGGTAGCAGTCAAGCTTTAAACTGGCTCGCACCACGTCAGAACTCGGATCGAGAACAGTGGCAGGATTCTCTCCTTGCACGAGACGTTGCAGCAGGCTCTCGATGTAATCTCCTGCCACAAATAAGTCCAAATCATCCTGCTTTGTGACTTCTCCGAGTTCTGCATACCTCCCTGCGCTAACCGAGAACCCGGTTGAGCTTCCATTCTTTTTCCTCAACGTGTCATGGACGTCTCCGTTGTCATCCATGAATTGCAGGGAACTGTTCAGGTGGTCGGCCATCACTTTGTGGCACTCTGCCAACACGTCCCTGGTGTCTGTGGCGCCTCCCATGCGCATCATCACTGAATAAACCTGGTGGACAGGAACATCTTTGAAGACTGTCTTGAGGACACCAAGGACTGTGCGATCGAATTTCACAGCGCCTTCTGGCGGTTCTGTCGCAGCATCCGTCTTCGTCGATGCTGCGCTGGTGTTCAGCGTGCCTGGGGCTTTGACCTGTGGCCAGAAAAGACCGTCCAGGCGTCACCCTGTGACCAGGTTTGACGGTCCACCGAGGCCGCATGTAACTTCTTGAGGGCGGTCATCTGTGTACCTGAGTTAACAGCCATTTCCGCCATGGCGTCCACCACCCACTGCGCCTCGTCACGCAGCTTGAGGGCTGCAACACGAATTTGGTACGTGTCGCATTCGCGATCACGCGCGACCTTGTCTGGCCCCCCAATTGAATTGGACATGCTCTTCATATAATGGGGGTGTTATTAATGTTATGAATCAAGAATATACACTAGGCCGTTAAGATCATGTATCACAAAACCAGACCCCATTATCCCATCACCAAATTGGTTCGCAAGAAGGGACAAACGGTAGCGATATGTTTCGCAAATGGATGGACGCCAACTTCCGCGCTCAAAAGACGATGCACGTTCCGTGCAGGTTCTGCTCCACCCGGGAGAAGCAAGCGACGAGGCTCAGCCCACAAGGGTCTCACCGTCTCACCCTGTTGACCGAGATGTCAAGCAAAGATGTCTTTCAACTTGGCCAATACAACATACGAAGTTCAGGCGAACTGCAGCCAAGAAAAATCCATAATATGCATATATATATATAATACAGTATATATATATATATTATATACTTGATTATATCTGGCCAATCCATGTTGTGGTATATTACCGGACTAATGGACCATCACTTTTGGGCAAAGCTGGATGACTGGATAGTTGGACCAACCACTGAGTGCCGGTCTTTGTCTTCTTGTCCAAATATAGCTGCCACCTGACAACAACGACTTGGCACGTCTTTTCAAGGGAGTGTGCAAAGGGGAAAACACTCTTCTTGGTGGCATTTTCTGCTGCAACTACGACGCCTATGGCTGTGTCTTCTATAGACACATTATGAACTTGTGGCAACAAATAGTGAACATGAGGTCTCGAGGATGATACCAAGAGAAGTAATCCAAGGGCGCTGACTAAACATCTATAAGTACTTTCTTGTGCTCCAATGAATGTCTACAAACGCGAACGTTTGCTGACCACATCTGGAGTCACAGAAGCTTTTTAACCAAACTGGAAGGCATGCAGACACCAACCAAACTGGAGGATCTTGATTATGTTTTTCTGGAAGGCATCTAGACTCCATTTGGGAATGAGTCTTGATCCAGTTGGTTCCAATGAATCTGGAGATATCTGGAGAATCTTGTTTGGCTGTGGAATCTAGAGAATCTACTCTTTGATATGAGCTCACTCCAGCTGGAACAGGTTCCAACGATCCGTGCCACACTCACACTAAGGCACCAACCAGTCAGTCGACTTCACTGCCTGGCCGCCGGCCCCTTCGTTGCCGTTCTCCCAGGACATCGAAAGTACCGAGAAATTCCGGCCTGAACTGAGGTACAAGTTCTCATATTTACATATATATATATACCCTGGGAGTCGATCAGACTATAAAAAGAATGGTCTGACTAGGTGACCCGAGTCTAGGAATGTCCTTTACTTCAGTCGGTCAAAATATAGTCGAACTGGACTTCTAGGGTATATATATATATTGATGGTCTTCGGCCTCTCAAACACCCAACACATGTTGATCATAAAGTGATTTCTTGTTCATTCATGGATGACACAAAGGTCTCCCATCGGATGTCAGAACAAAGGCACTCAAAACTGCCCAAATCAATCCGTTGGATGCGAAGAGCCAGCCGAAGCACTGCAAGTGGACCATTCAAAGGACATGTCCAGCAGCCCCGATCCAAAAAACACCTCACGAGTACAAAGCCCCACCAACAGAGGTTGAAGGACCCTATAGACTATCCCATATAGGTACCCCAGTAGGGTCCTATAAGGTCACTTAACCTCTCTAGGCAGTCCCCAGTCCTCTTGGATTTGCTGTCCAGGAAGGCCGGGAAGAAATAGAGCAGGGGATGCACCCAGTTCGGGACATGTCAAACCTCTGATCCGCAAAACTTCAGGAAATCCACAGTCCACGATGATTCGTCGCCCCTGCTAAGAGCCCCCTGGCCACGGGCAAAGCGGCAAAGACCGTCATGACCGTCATGATCAATCCCAAGTGCGCGTTGCAAACTTCATATATCAGGAGTCCAAGCGCTGTTTTACATGGTCCTTTCCATTCGTTTCATCTCTCAAGGCGGTCTCGGGTCCGGACCGCCTGCCGCGCCGATCGGCCTTCGGCGCCCGCCTCGCGCATCTCGCCGATCACGTCCGAGGAAGGAGCTTGTGGAGGCGACCTGGAAGGTCCAAGAGGCCGTGGAAGGCGGGTCGAAGTCGACATTTTGCAGTGATGCGAGCGATGTGTGTCAAGCAAACCCAGTATGGGCCCAACTTGCATCCAGCATGCGAGTTGATTGAATAAAAACAGTAACAAGTTGATTGGATTCTCTAGTCACTGTTTGAAATATTTCTGGAAGTGGATGGCACCACCTGTTTGTACAGGAATTCATGGTCATCCAAGGGGCCATGCCATCCATGAACCCGTGCATGTTTCAGGGAGTGTATGAACATGGACTGCATCTGTTCAAACTGGTCCTTTATGAACAGGTATTATAGTAATTATGGTTCCACCCAAAAATATTGATCAGTTTGCCAACCGTTGTGGGCCAAGGTATTCCGGTCAGCATTGTTAGCCTACTCTCTTTGCTAAGTTTACTTAACAATCAAACGACTTGCATTTGGTCAAATTTGGTGTTTCCAGCTACACCCACCATGTGGTTTAAGGGTTCAGTGATTCATGCAAATGTATTAAATGCAAACACATCATAATAATATATACTTGTATTCTGCACGACAAACCCTGGCCGCAGTTGGTTTAACATTTTAACATTTAAAATAACAACACATGGCTGGATGTTGGCTGGATGTTTAACAAAATGAATAACCAATTTGTTTCACAACGATCAACAACCCAAACAAACATATCCGATTTGTCGAGAGATCCCAAATCCTTTTCACAACGATCACAAGATCGTAACCACGCTCACCAATCATCCGGTTTCAAACAAAAATCACAAAGCCACCCAATTGAACAACCAACTCCTCCTTTTTCCGGAGAGCCTCAAGATCACTAACCCGAACAACCAACGCATCAATCACCATTTGTTGTATTCCTCCTCCTGCGGCCCTGAGTCACTCGGACCAGGAGACTGGTTTTGGGACACCTGCCGCCGAGGATGTTCTCACCAAGCACCGGATGCGATCCGATCGGGCCATGAACTTCAACATGTTTGAAACAAACCTGTTAAGTTTTCTAATTCGAGATTTTGGTTGAAAACTGAAAATGGAACCACTGAGAAGTGTTTGCATTTTTTTGGGGAACTTTAGGTTTGCTAACTGGGTCTTTGGTTGATGTTGACCAATTTGCCAGCGCAAAGGAGTGGCAAACGACACCTCCTTCAGGCACAGGAGGGTGGGCAGCTTTATCGGAACCTGATGGGATATCTGAATCATGACCCACAAAGCCTTTCTATTTTGCATGTGCTTTGTTGGTCCTGTAACAAGAGTTGCTTCTGATCTTGGCCTTGTGTCACACCAGCCTGGAAAGTATGACACACATTGCCCAAGTCACATCGAAATAAACCTCAACATGCCATATACAACACACCAGGCATTGAAGCATGATGTTCCCAATAGCCAGGAACATAATCCCCATGCACTGTTTCAGTTTGTGCAGCCACAGAAACTCAGCCGCTAAATATCACAACAGCGAACCAAACCGGTTTGTCTCAACCAAATAATTCTCAAGGTTCATTAAAGGTGTATGTATATATACTTACTCACATATTATATATCATAAAATTGTTAGCTATCAAAACAACACGTTGTGTAACCTGATCTATTGGGAACACTATCATGCGCATCGCAGGCATGTTTTACCGTGTTGATCCTTCTTCTCCGTGGAGCAACGTTGCACCTGGCTTGTTGGGCACGGCCAGGAAGTTCTGCGAGAAGGTGGCTGTTGGGAAGGCCTCGGTTCCGGAGAGCTTGGCTCTTGATCCGCAGAGTGAAAAGTCAGAGATGGCTCGATCTGGTTAGTAATAGTGATCATCGTTTACCCACTGTTACTGGTATAGTGGAACAAACCCGAACTATATCTGATTTTGGTACACCATTCGTCAAAAGCCGGGGGAACCTAGGTTTTTCCCACGGAAAAGGGAACAGAATGGACGCCACCAGACATGGCGTCCGGTGTGGGCTCGGGTGTGAGGAACCCGGACTTCAGGTGCCATGACCCACTGCCATATGAGTCATATGAGTTGTATACTTGACCTGCAGATTAACATGGAACCCTAAAGTAGAGGAAAATGCTCTTCCACCGATCAATTCTCGAGTTCCATGTTAGCTTGCGGGAGAGTACTTGACCTGCTCTCGCCTATGAGGTCTGTTGAGACTCGCTGAAGGACACGGGAAGTCGCGGCGACGGGGCGATGACGACTTGTAGAGCCAAAGGGTCGGCGACTTCCAGCACCGGTCCCGGTGAAACCTGAGAGGATGAGACCGCCCCAACCGGGTTCTGGTCTAGTTTTCGTCTTGGATGTGCTGGAACCTGGTTCCAGCCGAGCAAATTAACAAGTGGTTTCAACCTCTTCCCCATGCCGGACTCAGCCAGGAACCTGAAAAAAAAAACAGATCAGCTCAGTCAGACCTGGTCGATTCATCAGGGAGGTCGAACTCACTCGAGCCAGGTCGACGTTCCAGGCTGTGACGCCGACACCGTGGAGGTTTCCGTGCTGCCTGCACTCACCAATTCAGAAGTTCAAGAACCCCATAGATGATCTCATATAGGGTTCTAGGATAGTCAGAACGGTCATACTAGGGTCTCCAACCATATCAAGAACCCCATATAGACTATAGGGTCCTGGGTCCTTTTTCAGGTCACTTCACCGCTCACCAAGAGAGACCCGATGATGGGCACCACATGGCACCACATCATGGGTTCATCGTCCATTTGCGATGTCTTGGGTGTCTTCGAATTAGTCCACGAGACACTTCGGATGACGCGGACCGCGTGAAAAACACGTGCGCAAACCGGTGAACGCACTGCATTGTGCCCCCAGAACCCCCCAAACTGAACTACTGAGGAGGCCCGGCGCCGGTTGAGAGATTCTGCGGGTGTGCCTCGAATGCGTCAATCTGTTCGGGCGAGTGTAGGGGCTGCCCGGGCTGCCCCAAGGGTGACTACAGACATGGCATGTGAAAGGCAGATACAGGGCATGAACGGGTTGCTTTCCCAGGTCATGTAGACTGTGGATTCATGGCAAGTCCGCGGTTTTATTCATCAACTCCTTACATGTGTTCGCTTGGTGACCTGATCGAACACGCCCCTTGAAGTTATCGAAAAATAAGAAATAGAAAACATATGGATGTCCGGATCTAGTCATTGTACAGCTCTGCATGTCAGCATTGTTGACTGCTTTGATTGCCGTGAAATGAAACCTGAAGCTGAGAGGTGGGGAGCTGTCTATTGGAGACTTCGATGCCATGTTCCAGCAAAGTCCATGAATATCGGTCGAAACTTAGGGCTGACCTATATATATATATAGTTTATTTATTTTGTTGTTGTATACGTATTTCTACCATGGGTTTAACAATGTCCAGGAAAGGCCTGATTGAATCAAACAAAGCTTTACAACCCTTAGAGCATTATGTATCTGTCTAGTCTCTTCCAGCAAAATCAAGCAGCAAAAAAATGTTGGATGATGTTTGGTTTCATCTGACGCCCTCTCAAACATCACTCAGCGTGCGGCCACACGCGGATAGCCCTAGCGCGAGAATCACTCTGGTGGAATGCCACCAAGGAGGACATGATACCAGTAGACTGTCTGCTTCAGCTTTGCCAACCACTTTATCTACTGACAGGGATTACAGTCTGTTGTAGGAATCCGCTTTTGGGTCCAAGTCTGCCTTTGAATTGCGTTGCGCCATGTTGATGTTCAATCAAGAATCCTAACAATCCTGATCTGTCCCGTCTGGCGCCTGCTCTGAGACTATGGCTTCGCTTGAGCACTCTAGTGCACAGTAGTACATGGTCATTGACCTCTAAAAGAATGCAAATGGCATCCGCCACTAGCTCCACTAGCTCGAGCTGTGAGGAAGCGTGACTGGTGGAGGCAGGCAGCTGATTTACACAAAGTTTGGTGGAGGAAGGGAAGGGAAGGGAAGTTCCAGGCAAAGGAAGGGAGCACCCCACTACACTTGGAAGCACACCCAAAAAGAGCCCAGCCGTGAGAGAAAGGCACCAACGCCAGCAAGCAGTCCAAACTCGAGGCAAAAATGTCAAAAGCAATTAGCACAAAAAACCGGAGCATGGAAACCGGCGTGGTACCAGCATGGCGTGATGGATCACACCTGCAGATTCCGTCCACAGTGCCAGAACCGGAAACCAACCATCTTCCCCCTGCCAGGGGATTCACCTCAAATTGGACATCTGACATCAAAGCCCCAAAGCAAAACCAATGTGGCAGCCTGGATTTAAAGGTGCAAAGATAGCCCTCCCCCAAATTGAAAATCACCCCATGAAACAAGTTTCCTCTACCAGCAGGTGGTTGATAGGCCCCCCCAATTTTCCTCTCCACTCGCGGTGCTCATGATTCTACCGGCCAGTAGCCCTTCCTCATGTCTGTGGGAGCGATTCAGTAAGACTTCGGAACTGAGCTCTTGTGATAGACATGTAAGACGGTGACAGGAACAAAGACGGATGGCAATGTCCAACATGTTGTCTAACCAAACATTATCCCTACGGCTCCAATCATATCCTCATTGCACCCACCCCAACCACCGAACCTCAGGAGGTGGGCCAGGAACCTACGGCTCAACTAGTGCGCACAACCACAGCTCCTGCCTTGATGAGGCGAGCGATCAACGGTCGCACGAGCCCCCCGGCCCCGCCTTCGGTACAGTAACGTGGCTCACCTTTTTGCAGCGCCAAGTCTTTGGTGCAATGTTTGGCCAAGTCTTTCAGCTCAAAGCTAGAACATCAGATTCACTGGTTCGAACCAGGTGTCCGTCTATCATCTGGCAAAACAACAATGAACGAAACACTTCTCAAAAGGGAAACCCAACAAACTGTTGACACATTTCCCAACAAACCCAACAAAAGAAAGCACCCAATACAACAAACCCAATACCCAACCAGAAAGAAACCCAACAAACCCAACCCAATACAACAGCTTTGTTTGTTGTATACAGAAAGAAACCCAACAAACTGTTGACACGTCAATCGTCACTTGAAGTCGCGTCAATCGACGTGTACTGAGCTGAGAACCCGAGGGAACGACCTGAGACCCGGCAAATGCGACACCGAAGCCAGGGCCCTTTTGGAGCAATCCATCAAAGCTACTTGTGTTTGTCGGTCTGATTCTGTGTGTGTGATGAAATTGGTGTTTTGTTATTTTATAGATCTTTTGAACTGTCAATGTAGGTCAATATTCCAGTCATCATGGGTTGTTGGGGAACATGTCTTTCCCTGCTAAAGAAGGTGTCCACTCACAAAACCATCTTTTGGTGGCGTTCTCCTCATCCCACATACGGTTTCAGAGTAGGTGGCGCAAGTTGGAAGAGGTCGTTTATATGGACAAATCGGCGAAAACGGACATCTTGGGGTCTGTGCCATCTACTGTGCAACCACTGTATCTGTAATCCCAAAATGTTCCAAACACTCCATGTTTGGAATATCGCTTCAAAATGAGCTCATTAAACTCTTGGACGTGCAGGGCTCCATTGACGCCTTTTCAACCAACCCAATTTAGCTCAGTGTGCTCTACCAGCATCCTCCAACAGGTCTCCTTTAGAGGGTTCTTGGGCCGTAACAGGTCTCAATTGCTGACCTGTGAAGTCGGATGCTGGGACCAAACCCGATCCAATGGACCCTGACAATTCATCCATGGAAGACCATGCTCCTCTACAAACCAGTGGTTTGGGAGGGTATCTGGAATTGGAACCACTCAATGCTCCCAACTTGAGAGCTCAAAAGGTGCGTAGATTGGGAACCAAAGCCTTTGGAAAAAAACATGGCGTCCACCAAATGCCACATAAATCCACATGTTCTATCCGCGGAACAAAGACACTCAATGACCTAGACCCAAACATTTCATGTAGGGCTGAAAACAAAGTAAAAAAAACTCCCAACTAGATAGAAAAGAAAAGCAACATCCCTTTCAATATGTTTTGGAAACCGTGCCACTATCTATTGGGGGACCACTATAGATCCCTACCATGAGGCAGTTTGCCCCTTCCCCCCATGGATGCGACATGACTTGTTCCAAAACGGTCCGGTCGAGTGCCAACGGGAAGGTCCGGTCGAGTGGTGCAGCGGTTGGTTCTTTTATTTCTATATTCTATTTTATTTCTTGTTTCTAATAGCAAACATTGTTCCGTTCGTAGCGATGCCAGGAGCCCCTTACTCGTAGCGAACCTTGTTCCGTTCGTGACAGGGGCGGCACTCCGACTTGGGAGCCGGGCCCATTTGCCCTTTCAATGGAGTTTCTCTTGTGTTTCCCGGCTCTTTGAAGGATGGTCTATCTTCAAATCAAACCTTCGAGAATTCCCGGAACAGTGAAGCCGAGAATTTCCGAGACTGACAATTCCTCCCTTGAAAAGGTAGGGATTAGCATGGTCTCCAGAAATGTACTGAATGATCTGATGTCTTCGCCAAGTCAGAATCAACAGTGAAGAGTGTCAACAAGTCCGGTTCACGAACCCACAAAAGAAATCAAAGCTCTTCGGCACCTGGAACGTCTCTCCAAGAAAGATTAAGTGACCTTATAGGACCCTACTGGGGTACCTATGGGATAGCCTATAGGGTCCTTCAAACTCTGGTTTTTTTAAGAACAACAAACAGCTGCATCAACTGCAAAGGGCGACCTTCATTGGTCAATGACCGTGCACTAGTAACACTGGGGCAAGAGCAAACCCTAGGGCTCCAATCACCTCCTGACAAGATGGTTGGGGTGGGTTTGGGGGTCTAACCACCTTCTGAGGATATGGTTGGAGCCCCAGGGTAATATGTCTAGCAATGGTGTTTGCAAATACACCTTGCGGGTCAACGAACGAAAACGTCTTCACGGCAGGCTGCTGGATCGATCTTTCATGCCATGGCGCAGCAGTGCAAAGTGAAAACAAAAGGCTCAATCGGCCATCTTGGACCGCGGTGGCAACCAGCAAACGGCTCATACCGCTTCACTTTCACACTGGTCTTTGTTTTTCAGGGCTTTGCTGGTTTCCACCAACTGGACCCAAGGTGCCTGGCACCACAGGAGCAGTGCGCACATGAGAGCGTCATCGACCTTGGTCAGGCCGTCGCTGTGCATCAAGTGGGTGGGGATCCACCTCACGTTCTTAGGCTCATAGACCTGCTGTACACTTCTCACCAAAAAAATTCAATACCCTGCACCGGAGAGTTCTTGGAATGGAATACTTTCCAATAAGATTTAAAATCTCGATAAGAGATTTAAAATGCAAAAAAATGTAAAAAAATGTTTTAAATGAAAAAAATGATAAAAAATGCAAAAAAATGTTTTAAATGAAAAAAATGAGAAAAATGAGAAAAAATGATAATAAATGTTAAAAAATGATAAAAAATGATTAAAAACATAACATGGCCAACGTTTGGACACGTAAGAACTTGTGAGAACCCATTGGGCATAAATTGGATTAACATGTGACTGAAACGGGGTTGCATGGATGAACTCATAATCTCAACGATGAACAGTTTGTGAGCACTTGGTGAACCTATTTGTTTAAAGGTTTGAGAAAGTTAAACCAGATATGTTTGTACATGTTTTTGAACCATGGTGCACCACTTAGGTCAGAAATTGATAGTATAGATGACTTTGGACCATTTTTGACCTTATTTCACAGTTAATTGTTTTGTGTCCTTGCTGTGAACCTACTGTCTGCTGTAGTCTGCTGTAAGCTATAATCTCAACAATAAAAAGAAATCTTGAAATAAAATGAAAATCTTAGCAGAAATCAACTCAAAAAATCTCAAAAAATCTCAAAAAATCTCGAAAAATCTCGAAAAATCTCGAAACATCTCAAAAAATCTCGAGGGGATTAAAGGGAAAATAATTTTAACAACTCAAAAAATCTCAAAAAATCTCAAAAAATCTCGAAAAATCTCGAAACATGAGAAAATATGCAAAAATATGCAAAAACATGCAAAAATTTAATTGTACATGCGAACTGGAGCGTGATATGACTGCTGCAGTCAGCTGTCTTCTCAAACGTCTTGTGTCTGACTAGACCGTGCTGTTGCCATGTCGGTGCGCAGTGCAGTGAACCGGGCACAGAAAAAGGCTCGTGGGGCGCCGCCTATGTTGCCTGGAGGTATGATGCCGCAGATGTTTGGTGGTCCTATGATGCCCCAGATGTATGGTGGGATGATGCCTCAGCAGATGTTCCACCCACCTCAGTCTCAGGTGGGGGAAGGTGACACCTACACGTCAGAAGATGAGCATGAGCAGGTGTCGTCGTCTACTGTCCCGCCCAAGGCTGCAGGCATTCCTTTGCAGCAGGAGTCGTCTGCTGTAACAGCAGTGGCAGAGCTGCAAGAGGATGGTGTCCAGCACCACCAGCGTCTACCAGATGCCTTAATTTCCCGCTCAGTGACGTATGTCAAGCAACTTCCACTTAGTAACTTCTGTCGTCTAAGGTTCGTCCTGCACGTGGTGGATGACATCATCGTCAAATGTGTTCAGTTGTTAGGATAACTTCTCCCCAAGAATCACAATTTGATTGACCATGTTGTGTTTGAGGTGTTTTCCCCCAAAATAGTAACTTTTCTTAAAACAAAAAATAAAATGAAAAAAAAAGTGAAAAATGTGAAAAAATGTTTTAAAATGTGAAAATATGATTAAAAATGTGGAAAACTGATTAAAAAATGTGAAAAAATGCAAAAAAATAAAAAAACATAAAATTTCATGCGACCCTGCTCTGATCTAATCCTTCTCTGATCTAGGTGATTGAATTTTTTTGGTGAACTTCTCAATTCGACCATCAGCCGCTTCTCACTCACGGAGGGGTTCTCCTGGATGAGGCAGTCGTAGAGGCTTTTGGCATCCACGCACAACATGCTGGACAGCATAGCTCGGCCCTCATAGGACGGAATGCCATGGAGGAGCTCCGTCAAAAAGTAGTTGACGAAGCTGGCCCTGTCGCGGCCTTCGTCAGCGGCACACGCTTCTGCAGCGAGCGTGCTGCGGCATACGCGGGGTGATCTCCCGCTCTTCCAGTCGAGGAGAACTGCGCCGCAGGTGACCTGTGTCACTTGTGGTGGGCACAATGTCACCAAAAGTCCGTACTGGGACTTGTGCTTCTCTGCGTTGGCCCAGCTCGAGTCGGTGAGTGTCACGATCACCGATGCCAGGTTGAGAGGGATCCCGGCGAAGATCAGGCCTTGATCTTTGCTCTCCTTCACGTGCTCCATCACTTGGTAGAGCTTGTGGAGGTCTTGGATCTGTGCAGCGCCTCCACGGTGAGTCAAAGAAGTCGTTGCGCAGACATCTGGCCTGGTCTGTCCACCGAGCCATTGGAGTGAGCCGCAAATGCTTCTGTACTCCTTGACCTCATCAGTGGTCAGCTGCGGGTCACCTTGCAGTCGTCCTTTGGCCAGTTTGCCCACGTGCATGGTTTGGATGAAGTCCCGCTGTGTGACCTGATAGTGCCACTTGCCGTTCACCTGGTGCAAGGAGATTTCTTTTCCTCTGTAGGTGCCGGGCTTCTCGGATGAGACTAAGGTCACGCTGCCCCATGAGAAGAGGTTCCGGAGGATGTCCAGGTTGAAGGTCTCGGCATACACGGCCATGAAGTCGTCAACGTGGACGATCATCAGACAGTCGAGAAGGCCGTCATCGCCGTGATGGTAGTAGAAGCATCGGTCGAAGGTGTGTTGCTCGAAGTCAGCCTCTTTGACCGTACGATCGACCTTCTTGTACCAGACTCTTGGAGCATTGCTGAGGCCATAGCAGTTGCCGGTGATTTGGTACAGCTCTGCTGAGTAGGCGCCCGAGGCCTTGATGATTGGGTCGTTGGGCGGCTCCATGAACAAAGGAAGGTCGTACCTCTCTGAGCTGTCTTGTTCACCTTGTAGGAATGCCTTCTCGGCGTCTGACAGCCAGAGGGACCAGCTTTTGCCGTCGCCTTGGAAGAGGCGGTTGGCACCACTTGCAGCTATGGCCATGATGATGGTCTCGGACAACCGTGTAGGTGTTGGGCTGTCACGTGTCAGCTGCCGAAGGTCAGGGTCTGCGCATCCAATCAGCACCACACGAGTCTTCGC